AAAAAAAAAAAAAGAAAAACACACACCTAATAAACAAATAGAGTAAAACCTTCTTTAAGTCTAGCAGGCGAGCCAAACGACCAACCAAACCGACACCGGAGACCTGCAAAAAAAATTACAAATCTAGAATTCAAACCAAAAAATTGCTGACGAACTACCTAGACAGATATGGCGAAGAAGTCATTCTCGATCCAGATCTGGGCTACGAAGGACTTCAACGTCGGGGAAGAGAGGAGGAGCCGCCACGAATACACCAAAGGGCTCGAAACTAGGACCCAAGGAGGGGCTTCCTATAGCAGCACTTTCGATCCTTAAGGTTGCCACTGCCCCGAACAAAGCATTTGATGGGCTCATGATGCTGACAATCATTCACATTTGAGCGCTCGACAAATCGACTAATGGGCGGATAGTCGGATCGAGGACTTCCCAAAAGCCAAAGTTGTACGCAACCTAGAGGCCACATCCTTCAGGTTGAAGAATTAAAGGCGCACGAGCACGGACTTTCGCAGACCGGCGAACCCCTATGGATGGAACCAAAACACAGCAGACAACGCTCCCTCCGAAGCCCGGAAGAAAAGCGAGGCAATGAGACATGCCGCCGAATAGGTCTCCTGTCGTGCTCTTGTTTAAGAATATGATTTAAGAAAAGTGTTGAACACTTTGTTTTGAAGATTTCGTCCGCGACTTAGCTGCTCAGACTTAATCTAAGTGGGTACGGGACTCCGCAGCTAGTCCAAACTCAGATATTTTTTAGGGCTGATGTAGAGCCCCTGCTAAAATATTGTTACATCACACATAATTCATTACTTCAAGCAAAACATTGTTCAAAACCTACTGCCAAACAAAATTAAATTACATACACTTGATGCCAATGTAATATAATAGTGACGTTACACCTTCAATTCAACATTTCTTCATCCTCATTCATTCCCTTTCAGTCCTACATTACAATTTCAATTCAACATCTTCATTCTCTATCTCTTTCCATCCTAACCAAACCAACCTATAATAACAAGAAGAGAAGCTACAACCAACCAAAATTGAGAACCTTAATTTTCTTTTCTAATTTTGCATGTGAGTATCTATTGTGTTATTAAGAATGAACATGAGTTCTGCATTTCTCTGAGCTATAACCAGGAGCTCATTCAGTCTACTCTGAAGGTCCTTCACCTTGTCAAAGCTTTCTTCTTTTACAACTGTTGACACCCGACTTGATTAATACTCCAAAATGAAGGAAATCAAGACAATTAATCCAAATATGCTTCCCCCACTAAACATAAACCACTTCGGAATGAAGCTCCATCTCGGTTAATGAGTAAACCGACTCCTCAACGGGTTCCCGAACTTCCCGTTCACGAACCGAGAACCAACTTGATCAAATTCCAAAGCTGGTGACTAAGCACAATTCTGATTGGACCGAGAACAAAAAAGGCAATCATTGCGATCTCCTCGAGAATCTACAAACCGCCTCAAAAAGTAATTTTGCATTAAATGCAACCCTATCTACCTTGTACAAGAAATCAAAGCTTTCACAGCTATAAATACTAGAACTTATTGTGATACAAAGGATCGAAATCTCGATATCTCGATGTTATCTCGGTTACAACAGATACCGACATCTTTTACTCAAAACATACATACAAATAATACGAAATCTGAACTTTTCTTGCCTCATTAACGTTTTACTGGTTGTTGATTTCATATAACAACAACAACCCTCTATACAATTTCTCTAGGGACAACTTGCACCTTAGTTGTTCTTCCAAATCCTTTTAGTCAGCCTTCATTCTTGAGAAACATGTCTCCTGAAACTCGGACAATGCCGCATTAATGCAATCGGAAAAACCGCAATCATCTAGTTGCTACAAGAAATTTCGAAAATAAATGTTGAAAATTAGAACACGAATCCCTTTCAATTAGCAAAAAAAAAAAAAAAAAAATAAACAATTTGTAATACTCAATCAACACCACAAATTTACCTTTTTAATTCGACACATGTGAATCTTCATGGATTATAGATAGTTATCGATATCAGGATCTCTGCCATTTTACCATGGAAACATTGCTTTCGGTCGTGAACCTTCGAACCGTTGCCACTCTGAGAACTTTGGCTTTTGTGGGAAGAGAACGACATTTTTAGAGGTATGGAGACGAGCAACTCAATTAGGTTTTTCAGATGTAATGGAGATGAGACAGTGTAGAGGCGTTCAAGCGAGGTTTGTGAACTGAACTCTTCCTCCAACCAACACAGAGCAGAGGTCAATTAGTGTGACGTCCTCATCAGCAAAGCGTGAGGGCATGTGAGATTGATTGCCCAGACATGTTGGCACAGAACTCACCGCTGTCTATTTTGGGTTCGGGTTGCAATTTAAAAAAATAAAAAATCATGATATGTCTGCAGTTACCTTGAAGTTAAATTTAAATTGCAAAACGTATAAAGGCCATGGTTTTCCATGCAATTAGTCTTACTTTTTTTATCCATCTATTTGGAAAACTTTTTAGCTCAATCATCACGAGCATATGCTAACAAC